TCCTCGAGAGCCTGACGAAGCTGATCTTCGGTATATTGAGGCATTATATATAGAAGAAGACATGTGCAAAAGATGAGCCCATTTGGACGCGAATTGAAAATGTTGTGATAAAAGGAGGTTGGGGGTGGGCATTGGGTTGTGGTGGATTTTCGCGTTTTTGTGGGTGCCAGAAACAGGGGGGTGCCAGGAAGTGGGTATGTTGACTTACCACCAATACGCCGAATCATCCACCACCGCCCAGCACTCTTACTACTACCCCCAACACACCTCCCGCGCCGCATACTCGTATTCATACTCCTACACAAACGACCACACATACCCCTACTCACCACACTACCCCTACACCTCCCCCCGTCCCCGCTGGCGCACAATCCGCGTCTTCGACCGGACCCCAGACTTCCACGCCCTCGAATCCGTCGACCTCCGCTTCGCGATCTCTGAACTCGTCGACATTGGCGGGATCCTCCTCCACGCGGAGTCCGAACTCGAAAAAGCGCGGCTGCGAGTAGATCGCGAACGCCGGCGTCACGATGCCGCGCACGGGCGGTCCTGTGAGCGCCAGCGGGGCCACCAGCGGGAGTGTGACTGGACTCGACGCATCGCGGAGATGGCGCTCGAAGCGGACGATATCAAGTTCAGCTCCGAGGTGCTGGCGGATTGCTGGGTGAAGTACGTCGGGTTGCTGCGGAAGTACGAGTCGTTGGGGCAGCGGCGGGTGAGTGGGTTGATCGAGGATCGTGGACGTCGGCGGCTGCGGAGGAGCGGGATCGAGGTTGAGGTCGAGGTTCCTAGGTTGGATAAGGGGAAGCCGTTTCGGTATGTTTCGCGGGAGAGCTGGACTCGGGAGAAGAGGGTTCCTGAGGGGGATCGGGAGTGTTGTAGGGAGTATAAGAAGGGACATGGTAGACCGGAGGCGAATACGGGGCGACGTCGGTCGGTGAGGTTTGCGGATGAGGTTGGTGGCGGGAAGGGGTACTTTAATGAAGGTGGGCGGAGTCGGAGGTGGTCGGTGTACTAGATTGCTGTCTCGTTATTCCCTGAGTTTGTGACAGGGGGTTGACGGTTCACGATATTCAAGGCGTGGGCGCCGGGTAGAGTAGACATCGCTTCATTAAGTTTTGCGTCGAGATGCTCTAAATGCTATATGCTCGCAAATATACCGCCCAATGCATGTCCATGACTCCGAGCTCGCTAATACGGGGTTTCCCAATCATGCTGTTGACCCTAAACGAAAACACAATTCCTGCTCACGACTAGTAGACGAGCTTGAATTCGACATCCGACTTGATGGCCTTCAGAGTCTCCGGGATCGGTAGTGGATCGTAAAAAGGATTCGGGCGGAAAGTCACCTCCTTCAACTTGGGCAAGATGGCCTTGCTTTCGAAAACAAGTTTATACAAAGCGTCCTGCAGGCCCTTTTCGTAGACTGCGCGTTCCTTTGCGGATAGCTGGTCGACCTCGATGTCATGCCACAATTCCGCCAAGTCCAGAACCTCCACCGTCGGCGGCAGTCGCTGGATTATGTCAATCTTCTCAACCCACTGCGGTTTCCCGTACAAGATTCCTATGTCGAGTTTGACGTTGCGCAGCGACTTCATCTTGGGAAGTACCGTCAGTGTGCCATCTCCGCCAACGTGTTGCGAAAAGTTGCCCGCTAAGATACCCTCAAACGAAAAGGTTTCGAGAGTGTCGGCCACCAGAGACAAAGCTGTATTCAGGTTGTGTTCACCGTCGGCAGGCTGTTCGGCTACACCGCTGGGGCCCATCTCGAGGAGCTTGAGATTGGGACAAAGGGCGCATATTGCGTGCCATCCTTGGCCCCACATGCTGCTCCGAACAAGTCGGAGTTCCTCGACATTCTTCCAGCTACCATCGTCACCCCAGCCATCACCGGGCTCCAGAACGGCAGGACGATACACGGCTGAACCGAGCTCGACGGAGCGCAGGTTGGGTAGTCGCAAAAGGCACGGCAACTCGCGGCGCGGCCAGAAGCTTGCGCCGGGGAAGTCCGGCATCGGCTCCAGCATGACGCGGGTGAGGGAGCTCAGGACGCGCGGGCAGCCCTCGGCGGTTTCGATGTCGGGGGTTAGAATAGCTTTGAGCTTCTGGTACTCTCCAGCGGCGAAAGGCATGCGCATGTGCAGGGTGCGTAGGTTTGGTGACGAGTAGAGGATGAGCGCAAACACAATCTGGGCGAATTCGAGCTCTGTCTTGGCGTCACGCACAAACGCCTTGATGCGGTCCGGGAATCTGGGCGAGGCTTCTACGAGGCGGCGCCATTCGGTGCGCTTGTACGGGCAGAGAACGTCTGTCGGATAGTGATCGGTGCCTAAGCAAGAGACGTAGGAGAGGATGCGCATGTTGTCGCCCAGCTCTGGGCGTTCGAGCAGAGTCTGGAGGAGGGACTGAAGCCGTGTCTGACCCCATAGATACACGGTTTGGTAGAGGAACGGTATTGCCAGGTCCGAGAGCCGGCGACACACGAACGCGAGGCGGTAAAGGGCGACGCGGTTCGTGACAACGACGCCATCTGGATCGGTGTAGGCTTGGAATGGAATGTCGAGGCCATCGAGCGGCGGTGTCAGGTGGCCGACGATTTGAAGCAAGACTTCATCAGGGAGGGCAAGTAATGACAAAGACGAAGCCATTGTGTGAGAGGAACCGGTGAGCGGTGGTTGAGCGGGTGAGAAATTAGGAGTCGTCGTCAAGTCGAAGGAAGGGAGGTGGAAAGGTGAGTGAGATATTAGATCTTGATTAGGCGGGGTTATGTGCCGGAGTGAGACAGCGTTGAAGTCTGTGACCGGACGAGAAAAGTTCTAGACGAGACGAAATAAAGAGACAGATACAGAGAAAGAGACGTGTGCCCAGGCCTGTCTCAACCAACAGGTGGTTGGCGGGGGAGGCTGAGCAAGATGAAAGCGAGATGGTGACCTTATGTAAAGCAGCCAGGTTACTTGGCAGAGCGAGCGCGACAGCGACACATGCCAGCGAGGTTAAGGTAGATGAGCACGCAGGGTTTGACGAGGGAGAGGTGGGAGGGCTTGCAGAAGGAGAAAACCGAGAGAAAAAGAGGAGGAATTTAGATGAGACGGGCGCGTGGCGTAGCAAGATTCCCCCAGGTTTTCCGCTCCGATGCACTCCACCAAGAACCCACCGTGTCAGGGACTCCCAGGCTTCGAGAGTCTCCGACAACGAAGGGGCCCCCTTTTGACGATCCGGATGCGGCGAGTGGAGGGGGTTTGGGAACTTGGTTCAGTCTGTGAGAAGCAGATGCGGATGGGGGAAAGGTGTGAAGGAAGTGTAAGCAAGTAAAATATCCGTACCGGTAGGCAATAAGAAAAGATGGGCCTTGGGTGCCATGGGGATTTGAGTGTGGGCGGAATCCCATCTTATTGCTTGTTGCTGTCCCGAGGTCCTTGTCATCCAGATGCTTCTGCTGCCATGCGCGGCAGGATACGTACTTGTACATATTACATGCGTACCGACATCCAGCCTAATACCTTATTATTTGTCTGCTTTGTGGGTTCGTGCGTCTGCGTATGCGCTGGAAGAAATTGGAATATTCTGTACACGTATCTCGGACGGGTTTCGAAAAGGTCGATGAAGCTTCCCGGGTTCGAAGGCCACCTCCATCGTGGAACAAGTCTTTGAGGTGAAGATAGCATCTTTGAGTCGTGACAGCAGACCAGCCTGCACTTGCAATAGCAACGGGGGACGGCGGTGGTATCGGAGGAATGACGTTGCCGGAAGCGCACCCGTTCCTCGGCGATCATTGAGCTGTCTGGAGGCTTGGCTGTAACTACCCTGAATTTGGCGTGGACGAGGTTGGGTGACAACGCATGGTCTGCGAACGAACGAACCGATCGGGATGCTAGGGCCGAAGGGTAAACTGTCTTGTTGATTACCTAGCCACTTGGTAGTGTTGATGGTGGTCGGCGAGGGCACATTGGATGAAATAGCGTCGCAGCCATGGTGCAGTGAGGAATTCGAAGCGGCAGAGAAGTGAGCACAGAGGAAGAGGAGCAAGACCTTCGCCTGCGGTGGGCTGCCCAAGGTGAGAAAGGTGAAGAAAGAACAAAAGATAAAAGAGTGGGGGCGGTGGATGGAGGGGTATCCCAATTCGGGATAGTGCAGAGACGTACACATGGGATCCACCCTTGGAGGGCTGGAAGCGAATGATTGGCAGATCCCTCCGCCGCCTCCCTTCCGCCCCTTGACGCTGCCGTCCCTCACCCAACACCTCCATCCAAGCTGACTGACATCAACTCCCAAGTTTCGACTCAATCTTGTTCAGACTTTGTTTCTCCACCGCCTCGACTAGGAGTTGGAGATGGTTGCAGTTGCGTCCAATGTGGAAAGTGCATTGCTTCAATGGCAGGTCTGCCAGTTTTATACAGCCATCTTGGTGGCTTGGCACCTTGGCTACGTTAGGACTAACAGACTGTCGCCGCAGTACTCCAAACTTACACCGCAATTACCTACCCATCCCGAGTGCCATTTGGCTTGAATTGTCGACGGGAGAAGCTGGCCAGACGGAAACACGGCGGTCACGAGGGCCAGACCACATAGCAGTGCGAGCGGTCTGGTTATGGGAAATGATCCAATTTATCACGCTATGGCAGATCCGGATCGACGTGTTTGTTTGCAATCTGGCCAGGTTATGCATGTCTTGGCACCTCCCTTCTTTTGCTGTCAACTTCTATTGCTAATACCTACCTATTCATGCAGGTCAATTCCATGCCCTCATTGACCGTTGGAATGTGGATTTCGAGCCTCAAAGCAATACCGACAATGCTTTGTTACCGGCACTCGATCATGTCGCTGTCCTCCCTGCTTACCTAATATCCAACGGAGACTGGACAACTGGCCCCATAGCCCGCGCGACCTTGAGCCTCAGGCATTCAAACGTATTCCCCAGGCATCAAACTCCCGAACGCCTGCGTCCGCTTGCTTGCGGATGTCTCCCACTACCACTCCCACTTTGTCGCTACCGCTCCCGCAGACACACCAAAATCGCCTTCTCCAACAGGGTGCCCCCAGTCATTGCGAACAGGACGGTTCCTCGACTCCAAAGAGATCACACCACTTTCCGGGGCCTTACGGATCTCCTCCGTCAGGGATCCCACGCTTAAAACGTGGTCGACACCGTTGACCCCCTACGGAGTAATCCAGGGTCTCTCCTAGGTTCCCACTGTTCCGTCGGCCTGGATTCGCTTTCAAGACGACGACACGACATCGCCGCCTACCTTATTCAGTGCCATGCCTTTTCGACGTCGTGTCGAGGGCAGAGTCGACGACTCACACCGTGCAGCCATAAGGCCTACCCGCCGGCTACCTAGGATTCCTCATTTTCCCGACTGGCTCACGCTGCGGTCCATGTGTCGTTGTGAAACTTGGGACCAGCTGATTCCAAGACAGAAGCTTGTTTTTCGTCTCCTCGTCGCCGTCTGGGACGAAAGTCTCCCAGACGAGCCCGCGCTTGGATAGCAAGGCATTGTTCGGCATGCTCTCGCCCCCTCAGAGGTTTATCTGGAGCCAAACTCACACAACCCGAAGAATGTTGCTCATCCCCAGCCCTAGCAAAGAACAACCTAGAAAGCTTTGATGCCGGTCAAGTTGACCTAGGTCTCGTGCTGCCTTACCTCGGTGAGATTAGCTTTCAATTCTGGGCAGAAATTGGCTGAGTGGCCATTTCACATCGGGGTCCATCTTTGACACCCTCACGATGACCCATCGTTGCCGGCAACTATACCCAAAGTTTGGGGGCAGCGGTGCTCAGACTCGAATGGCTTTCAAATCGCAAGCGCTTTCTCTTCGCAGTGAGCCACTAGCTATGGAGGCTTCATCACCGTCTTCATCGCGACTACTTCACCATTACTATTCCTACAGAAGTCTGCAGGTTTCAAAAGCGAGCCCGCTTGTTACGTCTACGTGTTGAAGCTAGTCAATACTGCGACTATATAACCTGAGTGCGATCGAACTACGTTGTAGCGAGCTTGACGAACGATGCTACAACTCAATCAATCAGTTAGCCTTAGGTTCCCACAAACCATCGGTCTCCTGTCCAGGGCATAGCACCGACTCAGGCTCGTCGCTACCGCTCACGCTGTCCATAGACACCACGATTCGTTTCCGCAGCCTCGATGGACTATATCGGATGGGTCTCGGCGTTTTGCCATTCTCCGATTCACTGCTGCTGCTCTCTTCGTTGCTGGAGCTCTCATCTCGCGAATGTTTACTGCCGCATACCGAGTAGACCGACTGGCCCCGAAACTTTCGTCTCCCTGGGCGTGTTCCCTCTCCACGCTCTTTGCATAAAATGGCAACTGCAGTAGGCACGCTCCCACTCCCAAGATCTCTCATAACGCCCAACGCTTCCTCTTCCGTACGACCTTGATCCAGCAACCCCTTCATCTTGTCCCAGAAGGCCTTGCGGCGAGTGAACCACGAACGCCCATACGTGCCGTTTCGCCACTTGGCCCGGTACATCTTCTCCAGCAGTTCGACAGGCTGCTGACCGTGGAGACCGTACTTATACTCTGCCCATTGCTCTTCGACTGTCGGCGGGTGCGGGTAGAACTTGAATATTGGCCGCAGAACTCCATCCTTGCCAACGACGGTCAGTGGGCTGAAGTATTTCGGGTCATCGTACGGGTTGACAGGGTCTCTTGGGGATAGCAAATTTTGTCGAGACGCTTTCCGGCGAACAACAGCTTCATTGACAGCAATGTCTGTGACTTGCTCGGCTTTGGGGGATCTGGGCCCCAGTGCCTCTGGTTCCACCTCCAACACCTCCTCCCCCTGGTGGTCCTTGCTGTCATTGGTATCATCATTCTTTCTCCTTTTCTTCAAAGGCTGATTTGCACGTTGATTCAACGCAACTACCCGCGGCTTAGGCGCTTTTTTGCCAGTGCTTCTTCTTACCACCGGTAGTGACGCCCCAGGGGCCGCTGGTTGTGACTCTCGACTCTCATGGGGAATCCGAGGACCGGGTGTCCGAACTCTGGACGCAACTGTGATGGATTCCCGTCCTGGTGGCGGCACATCACATCTTCCAGCGGGCACTGGTGGTGTTGGAGATGGCGATGGGAGAACTGCACCTCTCTCATGGTCCTCTTTACTGCCATCTTGCTGCGCGCAATGTCTCACTGCCGGATCTAGTGGATCGACTCCAAAAACTTCCTATTACCAGTCAGCACATCCAATGCAATAGCCGATATCACCTCAAAGATAACCAAGCGAACCAGCTAGGCCTCTGTAGGGACATTCGGGTACGACAGAAAACTTACCTTGACGACTGAAGTCAAGACGTTGAGCTGCTTTTCCAACCTCCTATTGACTTGGTTCACATGCACCGCCATCTCTCGATCTGTTGCTTCTTGTCGCGCCTGCAACTCCCGGACTTCTTTTGTGTACTCTTGCTGTAGTCCAATGACTATTTGAGCGAACCCTTCCTCATCTGGTGGCCCAGTAGCCAATGGCGTAGCTACAACTTCTGATTTTGCTTCATCCTCGCTGTCAGAGTAGTCAACCAGCCGTGCTTGGCTCCGTGCTTTCATATTTAGCCGTCGTAAGTTGATAGTCTTCTCGGATGAAATCTTCTGCGACTCACGTGCTCGAATGTGAATCTTGCAGAATGCTACCCAGACAGAAACGTTTTCCTCGATCCAGTGAGACGTACGGACGCCAACATTTATTCTCGGATCACGTACTTCTTAGGTGCCACGAACACGCAGGGGATCAAAGACCAAGTTCGAGGGCGGTGGTCATTACTCTCAGGCATGATCCGCCGTGTGCCTGATTTCTTTGTCTGCGTTCGAGTATGGGTTTGGCCATGTGCAACCACAATCGCCATTGTGCAATCACCCCTCGAACCTCAAATCGCCCCGTGCGCTTTCTTGCAAGCAAGACGAGTCGAGCTCTGTGGCCTAAGTGGCTGAAGAAGAATAGAGCTGCAACTGGGAATGACATCTTCTTCGACACTGTATCCAAAGGCTTGTTGTGGCTGAACAATATTAACCTCTACCATTATTGTTGTGCAACACGAACTTCGTCAGGCTCGACGGAGGCGAAAGATAAAACGCCACGAGAAGGGAAGATGAATGGGTTCAATGTTTTACTCGCTAACGGATCTTACGATTCATCCACAGATTTGATAATTACTAACTTCGCGCCAAGGCACAATCGATCCTCCAACCACTGATCCGATAGCCAGATTGATAGCTGGACGTCAGTCGTCTTGCAATCAAGCGATTACTGGTTTGCCTGTGAGAAATAGAGACGGTTTTAGCGACATCTTCCCACATCACCACCCTGTCCTTATACATCATCCCAGCACCGAGAAGGCCTTCTCCGCCGGCAGGTCCCTTGAGCTGAAGCCGACCCGGAACGTGAACTCGCCCTCCGGAATAACCCACACCTTGTCCGACGCATTCCACAAGCTCACGTCCCGCCTCATTAGCTGGAACTCCACTTCAGCCGAGCCGCCCGCCTCGATCTGAATCTTTTTAAAGCCCCTCAGGACCTTCTTTGGCGTGCCTTCGGGAGCAGACGACGGGAAGGAGACGTAAAGCTGCGGGATAGCAAAGGCAGTCTTGTTGCCCGTGTTCGAGATTGATGCCTTGACGCTGATGAGGTCCTCCCAGAGCTGCGGGTGCCCGCCAGGCTGGACCGGGATAGCCGCGTCCGGGCGCGCAGCGATGAACGAGTTCCCTACGATAAAACCCACACCGACCTGGTTGTCGACCACGGCGAACGTAGTGTACGTCAGCCCGAAACCGAACTCGTACAACGGCTCGATTCCAAGCGCGTCGTAGTGGCGGTAATCAATCATCTGGCCCTCGCTGAAATCAGCCTGCCACGCAAGCGGGTCAACGACAGGTTGCGTGAGATTCACAATCGCGGGGCCAGCGTCCTCCTCGTTGCGCGGGACGGAGTACGGCAGCCTGCCGGAAGGCGCAACGTCGCCCCAAAGTAGGTCAACGATGGAGTTACCGCTCTCCTGGCCTGGGTAATGCGCCGCTAGGATTGCGCCAATCTTGGTATGGTTTGCCCAGGGCATGGTATTTACACCGCCTGAGTGCGTTACCACTACCGTCGTCGCGCAGAAATCAGCCACGTTGTTGATGACAGCCGTCGAGTTCCCGTCGAGCTCAAACGACGTGCGATCGAAGCTCTCGCTGGCGAACGTCTGCTGGAACACGAGACAGATTTCTGGCGGTGGGTACACGCCCCGGAAGTCATTGGCCGCGAGGACGTCGTTGTTGGTCACGTAGAGGACTTCCGCGCCGTACTCTGCCGCTTTGGCGCGGACGGCGGCGAGAGGGGAGATCACTTAGGACGGGCGTCCTGTGCCGGACCCTCCGCCGATGATCATTGTGCCTGTGTTTGTGTCCTCGGGGACCTCGGAGGGGCGGAGGAAGCCGTTTGTCATCTCGCCTGCGTCGTTGCCGAAGACGCCGATGATCTGGGGCTTTGACAGGGGGAGGGTCTGGTTCGAATTCTTCAGGAGGACTGTGCCGGCGGAGCCCATTTCGCGGATGAGCTTCGCATGGTCGCCGCGGACGTCGCGGCCGTGGGTGAAGACGAAGCCGTCGGGGATGAAGCCCGTGTCTTTGGCGACTTGCAGCCCGACTTCTTGGAATAGGGTCACGAAGCGCAGAGATGGGTCGGGTGAGGGGTAGGACTCTGCGTCTTGGCCTAGGAGGTAATACGGCGTTAGGATGTTGCGGACCATCTCGTCGATGCGGGATTCTTTGACGGTGCCGTCAGCTACAGCCTCGAGGACTTTGTCGCCGAAGAAGGTGGCGGCGCCGGGGTAGTTTCCCGGCACAGCGCCCGGCATCTCAAGATCCAGACCGTTGTTGATAGAGTCCGCGGTAGAATGCGTCGCGAACCAATCCGACACCGTATACCCCTGGAACCCAAGCTCATCTCGCAACAGTTCCTTCAGCAGGTGACTGTTCTCGCACGCGTACGTCTGGTTGAAGCGGTTATACGAGCACATGATGGACGTCGTGCCGGCCTTGATGGCATTGGCGAAGGGCCAGAGGTAGAGCTCGTGGACGGTCCTGTCGTCGACGTTGGACGAGATGGCCTCGATGACTGTGCCGTTCACCGTCGTGTTGGAGCGCTGCGTCTCTTGCTCGTTGGCGATGTAGTGCTTTGAGCAGGTCTGGACGCCGGTGGATTGCATGCCGGTGATTGTGTGCTCGATGGTGATGCCTGCTAGGTACGGGTCCGGGCCGAAGCCTTCCCAGTTGCGGCCGCCTAGGGCTGCGCGGCCCATTGGACCTGTGGAAGGACTGTTCGGGAGGTGGTGTCAATATGACGGTACCTTGTCACGTATTTCTCATCGACGGAGGATGAGTGAGACTAGACGTACCCGAGAATCACATGCCCCCCCTTCCCCTTAAACTCCTCCGCAATCGCAACTCCCCGACGATAAATCATCTCGCGGTCCCACGTCGCCGCCGCAGTGATCCCCGAAGGGAAAACGCTGACGAGGTCGGCGCGGTTGACGGCGCTGGGGCCGTCGAGCATGCAGATCCCCTTGAAGCCGAGGCGGGGAATGGGCGCGATGACGCCGATGCAGTTGCCCGCGGAGGAGTTTCCCGTGATCATGGAGACTTTTTCTTCGAGGGTGAGGCGGGATATGAGAGTGTTTGCCAGGGCGAGGGCCGTGGATCTGTCCCGTGTGCCTTTTTGTTGATGGTTAGCTTTTGGGACGTGAATGTGAAGCGCGGCTGGTGAGGAGAGGCTGTAGGTGGTGGGTGGGATGTACCATTGTTGGAGGACCGGTGGTGGATTTGGCTCGTTAGGCTGAGCTGGGCTCCGAAGAGGAGGAGGAGTGATTTCCACAGCATGGTTGGCGATGATCCTGGTGACGGTTGTTGAAAGTACGATACGCCAGATAGCGCGAGGTTCCCATGGTCATGAGTTTCCCTGCTCTGAATATGGGAGTTGGAGCCAGTTCATTTATACTCGTCAGATGTCCCCCTAGATACCGAAAACAGGCTTTGAAAGGCTGGGCCACTCTTGCCAGAGAGGAAACCGGGCCAGGTAGTCATCGTATGGTGTTTTGCATGTAAAGGTAGCAAGGTACGCAACGTAGTTTAAGGATTACGAGGTTAACTAAGTACATATGAATGTCGGGCCGATGCATTTTGGACTAGGATAGAGATCGACCGTACAGACGACGAGGCGGGGAAAAGTCTTCGTAGTGACACTCGGTATTTCGGGGTAGTTATCAGGTCGCAGTCGGCTCGGTGAGCAGCTTGATCAAGGGTGGCGAGAGCTATGAAGCTATCATTCTGGTGACTGCGACGCAACTGTTAACAAAGAACCTTTGTTTTCTATTTTGCATCCTAATCTTTTATCAAATTATAGGGAGATTGGATTTTTCAAAAGGTCGGTAAAGATGGAATGCACACCAACGAGCTGTCAAAACATGTACTCAACTTTCCCGTAGCAAGCTCGAATTGAGATCACGGCACGTGTAGCAACAATCGAGTTCGACACCTGACATCATCCTTCCACTAGCTTCAGATCTCCTGGTACGAATACTCGGATCAAAAGGGACAAACTCTGCATCGAACTGGCAAATAGCCCATGTCGATACTTCCATGGGTACTACGATCGAAGCTTGAAGGCTGTCACCCGCGTATTTGGGAAGGCAACAGAATCGCGCACTTATACGCGTATAGGCTGTGCCTCAACACTCGGAGCCGAAAATCCATGCAACCACAACACATCGTTCTTGAGGGGTAAACCCATATTTCCCCGCATCTCATCCCGCAATTCGTTTCTTCGTTGGAATGTGGCGTCTGGGGAAGAGTTTGGCTGTTTGGAAGCATGGCCTGATAGGCGTGAGGAGTTGGGTTCGGGCTGGCAATTTGCTGGTTGTTTGGTCATGAATCACGGAGTAAGGCAGCTCTTAGTAGTGAGTGTTTCAGTGCCTCTCTTGAGTTTTGAATGAGATTTCATTGCCAGAGGAAAGCTACTTTTATCTAGAACCCTCAGCACTATGGTTCTAGTAACACTCAGTTGATTGTAAATATGGTGTATAAAACAGGTAGTTAAAGAGCACCTTGATGAACAATCTTGGCAACAGTAACCGTAGGCTTGTGACAATTCTAGCAAAGAAGAATACTCGGCCATACTGGCTCACCATCAACATGAGGGCGGTAACGACTTCCATATCAAGGCACACAGGCCCATGGCTTTGGTACAAGTGCAAATCAATAGCTCCTGCAAGTGCCTGCGGTGAACAAACGTGTGTTCGATTGGTCCGATGGCTTACCATCCCCAGAGAACGTATTCGTTAAGCATAAGTACGAAGGTGTGGGGGCTGAACCTGGGGCAGATTCCCCAGAATATCCGCCGGGGAAGGCCCGATTGCCTTGCATTGCCTGATTTTTCGGTCTCTTACTTGGCGCCAGACGTTAAATACGACAGCACTCCAGAGGAGAAAGAGTGGATAAAAAGCTTAGGAATCAAGACACAAAAATAGCACATAATCAAATCTAGAACATTAAAAAATGGCATGCAGCTGCTAAGATCCGCAACGAGAGGACAGGAACACTGGCACAGGCTGTATCAAAAAGCTTCAAGTTTGGCCTGGGAAAATTAAACAAGCGAACTCCAGTCGAGCTCACTGCATTAGTTCTAGTCCTTTTCAACGAGAGTGCAGTTATTGTTTGGACTGTTCGCTAGATTTCACGTTCGTTAATCCAAAGAAGAGGCAGGAAGAGGTGAATGAGGAGGATCTTGGCGTAGCCTTCACCGTTGGAGAAGACTTCATGTATCAATCACTTGTCAGAGTGAGCTTGTCCCGTTATTATCAAGGTACATCGTATTCGCTCACAATGGTGAGCTAATATAGAGATTAGTCTTTCATTCTCAGACATCATGAGGCTAAGTATGTCCAACAGACTATAGATGCGATTGCAACCGCATCAGCGTTGGTTGTCAGACTGCATCCAGCGCGCTCATCCTATCAAAGCTCATATCCAAAATCTCCAACACGTTGCCCCAAGGATCTCTGAAATACAGACACCTCGAGCCGCTCAGCGGATTCAGCGTCGGTTCCCCAATCTTGCTGGCCCCGGCCTGTATAGCCCGAGCCAGCAGAGCCTCTGGTTCAGCATCCGTCACGCACAGGTGAAAGAAGCCGCCCACGTTGTAAGCGAAATCTTCGGCCTTCTTGTAAGCCGGGTCGACGAACTCAAAAACTTCAAATCCGACACCATTACCAGTCGCCATGAATCCCAGCTTCACCTCCTGCAAGGAGTCTGGGTAAATCTTGAAAATTCCCGCGTCCGGTGTCTCGGAGCGCTTGATGTGCTTGATTTTTCCGTTTACGAGGACAAAGCCCATGATTTCGCTATACCATTTTACTACGGCTTCAATGTCCGGGACGGACACGCCGATATGGTTGATTGATCGCATGTTTGACTGTATTGCATGGACTTGTCAGCAGGGCATTGCGGCATTGTGTTCCACGGCGGATGGAGAGGATCTGATGATGATGATCCATAGGGGTGGAGAGCAGGCCACATACGATAGACATGGCCGTGACTTCTTGTAATTTGATTCAGTTGTTACACATAGGTATACGTCAAAAATGATGATGAGATGGAATACAGAATGTGTTGAAGCGAGTTTTCACACTGAGAATAATATCTTCCTGGCACGATATTGATGATGTTGATGATGTTGATGATGATGATGATGATGACAATGTCCTTGGTGGGCGGTGCGTCGTCCAGCCTGGATATCGCCGGCCGGATGGGGCAATCTGGCACGGAAATCGAATCCCGATTTTTGCTATGCCCCCGGAATTGTACCCCGACCGACCGGGGCGGGGCAGTCGGCACCAGCCGTAGCCATCGGAGCAGCAATTCGGAGCATGCGTACTCCGTAAATTATTTCCCAATCCTCTCGCAAGGCGTGCAAGACTCTTGATATTCTCAGAACAACTCTTCGATCCGACCTACCGATCGGGGGTACTGGGATACAAGGGATTGCAGCTTTGGGATCTTGTGGTGCGCTGGAGCTTCAAAGAATCATCAAGTCTCACAATGACCTCGGGGGACAGACAGGCCATCGTACCAATGGAGCGCTAGGTTCTACGAGACCCTGAGAAAGGCTTGAGTCTCAATCAAGTACTAACACAAACACAAATTATTCTTTCTGGCTTCGTATCTATTCAGACATTTTTCGGTTACAGTCGCGCGTGCTTATGTACCTAGGCAGTTGGTTTAACAGGCGCCAAAATTTCAAGGACATAGACCTCAACAGCAGAGTAAAGCAATGTGCGGCACCACTAGGAGAATTTCATCCCGCCGGAAATTAACACCAAAACGATTCCCTTTTCATGTAGCCGCTTAATGGTAGTTCCTGCTCCTTAGCGGCAGGCGTACTTGGCATTGATCGACCGCTTGGATAGCCCTGTTCAACTGATCTTCTGGTTAGATCCGAACCAACTTCAAACGGGCAGGGCGGCCTAGGGCGCTGACCCCGGAAATAAGCCGTTATTGTTCAGCGCGAAAATCCGGGCGCTGGGTGGCTGACTGAGTGATTTTTGAGATTTTACCAAGTTTCTCGGCAAGTGGGCTGGCCCCGTCGCCACATAGTCATTGCCACCGGGATTGCCACGATAGTATCCAGCCGTGCTTGTGTTCGACTCCACTGACACGTTCGCGGCACCTCCGAATGCTGCGGTTGAGTATCGGCAATCTCGGCATCACGGGAAAATACTGCGCATTACCAATGAGAAGCACTGAAGAAAAGTCTCTCACAGTCGGGATGCTGACTTTGTTGTCGTGTTGCTGTCGATGTTCGATTATCGGACTTAGCCATAAGTGCCCTTTGAGCCAGGTTGAGGAGTAAGTCGTTAGACATCCTCGTCAGTATTAGGTGTGAGAAATCAAGTGCGCCATGAAACGGCCAGGTGAGTTCGAGCCAAGAAACGTCCTTTATTCAGGTTTGCAGACAACTCGATGCTGGGTATTCGCAAACAGATGCCCCTTCGCGATAAATCAAAATGCCGTTCTATCTCCATGTATATGTACTGTTCGTAATCATGTCATGTGTGTATATCTGCGTTTGCCAGCGCAGCTTCTTTCATCTTTCATGGGGAGTCCGACTCCGACGACGTGCCCTGCTCCTTGTGAATAACCTCGTCCTTGATGTCTGTGCGGAACTGTACCTCCTCTTCCCTCAGCTGGGCCATCAACGTCTCGTTGGCTCTCCAGACGGGCTTGATCTCGAATAGTCTGTCAATCTTCTCCAGGGGAACACCGCTCGTCTCGGGGATGAGGAAGAAGGCGAAGAAGAAGGCCAGGAATGACAGGGCGGCGAAGAAGAAGTACACGCCGTATCCCATGGCTGCGAACATCTGCTCCGTGAAACGGGAGACGAGAAAGTTGAACAGCCAGTTGCTGGCGGTGGTTGCACCACTTGCCAAGGAACGGAAGTTGGGGTCGAAGAATTCCTTGAGGTTTTGTTAGCTGCGGTCCAAACGTCACCACAGAGGGATAAACTTACAGAGTTGATAACCCAGGGGGTACCGTTCCAGGTGGGGGTGTAGACGGCGGTCCAGAGGTAGAAGAAGACGATGGCAGCGATACCACTGCCGGTCAAGTGGTCTTGAGGGTTCTTGGTCGGCTCGACGATGCAGATGTAGCCTCCGATGACCCACATGCAGAGGGAACCGGTGATGGCACCAATGAGAAGAAGCTTTCTTCTACCAAGCTGATCGACGAGGAACAGAAGCCAGACAAAAGTCATGACGGCCTTGACAACACCAAAGATACCAGTCATCAGGTTGACAGTGTTGCTCTCAACACCGATGCTGGAGAAA